ATCAGAAGTTATCTATTCACTGGCTTATTTTATTTGTATTCCATTTACATTGCCACATTCATGGGTTTAGTTTTAAGTGTTTATCATCTGGATACTAAAATTATTTAGGCCAGTTTTCCTTGTCACTCTTTACCGACCACGGTTGCTCTTTAAATCCTTGAATTAAGATTATGCTTTTTTAGGTCTACAAGATAAGAACAGTGTTAGCACTCTCTTTTAGGTATGCTTAGCCTAGATACCTGTACTATAAATCGTTTGCAATTAAGGCTTGTAATTCGAAACTCTTGGATCCACAAGGTCAATGTAAAAGGCTTAGTGTAGCTGATAAAGCCAATGGCTTAATTGTGAGGATGACTAGAATTGAATCCTCTTATTATGTTCGGCAAAAAAATTTTAAGCCCTCGATCTTCGGTTTTCTGGTCATTTGGACTAGGTACCTTTTCGGTTAATTGCTGACGATGCGTGATAAGGAGGTCCATAGGTTGATCTAGTCATGCACTGACAATAGTATATCAAATGCCTTGTCAAATGTACCTAGGATCGGCCTAGGAAAGAAATTTAACTTAATTCTGCGAATAGTTGCATTCTTGGCTAACAATAATAATTATAAGAAAAGGGAATTATACCAAAACAAAGGCACAAACTCCATATATTATTTGCGTCATGCTTTTACGAGGTCTTTTCTTTCTTTTTATGACAGGGGCTTCAACCCCTACGCCCGCAGCACCCTGCAAGTCGCTACTCCATCTCTTCAACCGCGCCTTTTGCCTCAACGGCTTGCGATTCGACCTTCACTCTTACCTGTAACCATACTTCCCAGCCCCATGCAGGCATTAGCATCTAAAGGCAGGGTCTCGGATCTTACGAGGCCTTCTTACGGCCTCACTAGTCTCTCATCTACTTCTTCCTCTGCACTGACTTCGTCAGCAACAGCGACACTTCTCATGCCGCCTGCAGATGCTGGGACTACCGTCCCTTCTGGATTGCCTTCAGGTGGCTTGAGCAATCGGTTCGTTTCCATCCTTCCTACATCTGATGCTGGTAATAACACAATCGGCTCTGCCTCCGATTCTCCTTTTTTGGGCAGAACTGCTTCCTCAACAGTATTGGTTGGAGCCCGCTGTGCTGGTCAACAGAGCTTGGGTGTAACTACTGGGCTTCTTTCTCCTACTGCTCGTATCTTGGCACGACCTTCAAATAATTTAGGCTCTTCTGGCAAGGTCGTTCAATCCTCTCTTTTCTCCCCCGCTTTTTCTTCTATTTGCACACCCGCCACAACTGTTCCAAATGCTAACAGTGCTTCAGCTACCCTGTCTATTGGATCAAATTCCATCCCTGGAACAAGCGGACTGCTACCTCGTTTGATAGGTTTGCCTTCAGATACAAGCGGCAGCATCCCTGGCACCTCATTTCGGCTCATTCGCCCGATGCAAACTTCTCCACTTTTAACTTCATCTCGCCAACCTAATCTCTCCCATCAGGTGATTACAAGTTATTAAAATATAATCTTGCATTTCGTTCTGAAATATTGCTCGTATTTCATCTAAGGGTTACGCTGAATACATACTCAATTTATCTTCAATTTATCTTTATATCTCAAATTAAGCCATAAATTACCGAAACTCTCTAATCATCTATAGCAGTGGTTCCCAAACTTTAACCAGTCGCGGCGCCCTTTTTCAATTAAATTTTTTTCATGGCGCCCTGCCCTAAGTATAACTATTCGTAAGTAAGAGATAAAAAAAGTAAAACTCGTGTATTTCCATTATTTTTTTTACTTTATTAACATTAAATTAATATTTAATAATTAATGTGATGGATGAGCCTGCAAAT